AGGCCATGTTGTCCGAAATGCAAGTGAGTAGTTGTTGTTGCACAGAGCCCACGGCTCGGCAAAGCCTTGTTATTGCCCGATACACTCCACGAATGTGTAGTGGGGGGTCCCTCGGCGGGTACAAAATAGCGTCAGCTCGTTCGTACTTGATGGTGTCAATTGCCATCGCCCATGCAAACACGCAGACGGCAAGCGTGGCAGACTGTGCTAGTCTTCCGTTGCGCCGAGCCTGGCGCAACGCGCATGTGCGGAAATCCATGGCCTGAAGCGTATGCTTCGAGATCCACGTCTTGCGGGGTTGTCGTCCACGCTGTGTACGGCGTATGGGAAATGCCTCCTGCATCGCCTGTCGCACATAATTGTCATAGTAGTAAACCTGATCGTTGGCATGAACTTCTCACTAGCCCAAAACATACCCGGACCCGGGGTCAGCTGGGGTGAACAGGGCCGCCCGCTGGAGCGTTTTCGGCCTTGCCGCCACCTCGTCTGGGTACGGGTCGGTGCCCGAAACAACCATACATACCCGGACCTAGCTGGGGTGGTGGTTGGGTCACCCCGTCTAGGTACGGGTATGTATGGTGGTTTCGGGAGCCGACCCGGACCCAGGGGGGGTGATGCCCCGAGGGCCCCTTGCCACCCCGTCTGGGTAAGGGTACGGGTATCTTTCGCGCTCGAGAACTTCGAAGGGCATGGGCGGACACTGCGCAAGCAGGTGTGTAAAGTGTGCCCTTGCCTGAGGGTCCCTGTACAATGCTGAGTCATGTGCCACCTTGTACCCTGTGCCAGGCTGTGCTTTCCAACTCATACAGTCGTGTCCCAGGAAGTGTACCTGCGCGCATACCGCTCGGTGGTCTTCGTGAGAGACTGTGAGATCAATGCGGTCGTCCACCCCTTGGGAAGACACCCACGCCGATTCTGAAACTGCAATGTAGTCGAGGCGGTGCCCTTGACTACCTGGAGACGGAGATGTCCAGGTAGACGCGGAAGGAGAGAAAGCGGGCAAGAAGGTAGACGGCAGCCACAGATCTGTGGCCTGCAAAAAGTCGTGGAAGCATTCACCTGCTTCATTCTGGCATTCCGCATCTACGGCTCCCACAGACTGCGAAGTTACTGAGCCCACTCTGGCATTTGCGTCTAGGCATGTGAGCAGAAGCTTGGAATCACCCTTGAGCGCCCTGACTAATCTCGTCGTGGTGCTCCACCATTGTGCCAGACTGTGAGGGGTACGGTTTTTACCTTCCCCAGGCCCGTGAGCAACCAACACATTGCACTGCATGCGAGGAGCACGGATCGCAACAAGTAACCTAGAGGGCTCTTGATGTAGGACACGACACATGTGTGGTTGGAGGCGGCAGCCTGGGATGTAATCGACATTGGTGTTGATCCAGAGTGCACATCCCTCTGTACCGGATGGCGTAGCTGGGGAGAAAAAACACAAAATAGGATCCAACCCGCGCCGATTTCGAGATAGGCATTCGTGTCTCCGTTGTGCCAACTAGTAGATAGTCGCATCTCGCAAATTGTGTGCCCAGCTGTTGGAACCTACCTGTTGGGGGTCCCTGGTAATTTCCCAAACTGTTGATACCAGCCCGTTTGTATTCCTGAGGGTCCAATGTAAGGACGTTGGCTGCTGCTATCCAGAGAGATACCTGGGTGTCCTCGATGGGGAGGGGCTCAGGAGGAGCTGGGAGGCAATCCTGTAGCTTGACCTGTGGTAGCTTGGCTGGTGTCACGGGAAAGCCGAAAGGCGGTGGATATGCTGCACGTTCTGCGTCTGGCGAAACTGCAAGCCATGCCCAACGAATGCCCGACATGTGCCATGGCAAATCCAGTGCGGTGCGCCAGTTGCAAGGTGGTGAGTGTGTGCACGCATGATATGATGCAATGCGTGCAGCTGAATCTACCAACTCATTCCAAGGATGGTTGGAGTGTCCCGGTACATGTGTCCACTCATATTTGTGTAGCACCCTCTCCAGTATCTGAAGCATGCCGTCTAAGATGGTTTTGGAGTCCTGCAGGGCTCCCTTGGTGCCTCCCAGTTGGGCCACTCTAATGACATCCATGTTGTCACTGTGTACATGCAACTTAGTATTATGAAACTCAGACGCAGACAGTAGCCACTTGCATGCCCAAATCGCTGCTTCGAACTCTGCGTACGTTGAGAGCAACTCCCTGGGCACCGCCTGTGCAATATCAGGCAGGCATCCAGCCTGGAACCCGAGGAGCCACTGTCCGTGATCATCGGAGGCAAGGGCGCAAAACGCCCAAGCAGGAGGGGTAGGAGAAGAGGAGTCATGCAACTTGAGTCCCCCTGCAGATCCATCCGTGTAAATGTCAAGATGAGTGGGGATGCGTTGTTGGCCTGTGTCGGTAACCTTGGGGCCCAATTCAGCCAGACCCCGAATCGTGGCTGAATGCCAAAACTGAGCATATTGCAACGGGTCGTCGCAAAGCCCAAGCCCCACTGAGTCCCAAGGTTGGCGCAAGAGGTGAAACGTGTCGGAAAAGTCGGGTAGAGGACTGTCCTGGATACCGATCACCCCCTCGGTGTCCATCCCATGTGTCGGAGACTGCGTTGATTGACGAGTCTCCTCTACGGTGCCCTCCTCGGCGGCATCCGTGGTGCCGACTAGCGAAAAACTTGGGTGCCCTCTGTGGGAGCCCGCTCCTCGTCGCTGTCGACGTCGATGGTGTCGTCGTCGTGGGCAGTGCTCATGCGTGCCCCCTTCGTGAAGGCCACGGCGAGGCGGGACCTGTCCTTGTCCTTGTCGATCTTATGCTTGACGCCAGGTGTGCCACCTTTGCCTTTGTCACCTGCGGCACGCCGCTGGGCAGCTCCCCCCTTGGCAGGTGCTGCTGCATGCTCAGGGGGGGCATGGGCTGCTTCGACCTCTGCGATCACTGCCTCCTCCGATCACTGCCTCCTCCGCTGCTGTGGCCACACTGGTCGGCTCAGGCGACACAGGCTCCGTGCCAGGCGTCAGCGTGCCTCCCACAGGAGTCGCTGGGGCCGCACTCGCCTGTTGGGCTGCAGTCCCTGCGGGCACTTGGCCTGCATGCGCTGCTGTTAGCAGCCCGGCCTGCGCCATGCACTGCTGCATCACCGCCATCTGCGCAGACAGCGCTGTGAGTGTGTCCAACATGGTGCGGTTGTTGGCCTGCATGGCTGCCAGCGCTGCTGGGGTGGCACCTTCGCTGGTACCCGTTGGCGAAGACCTCTTGGCTGGAGGACGGACAGCAGGAGAGCGCTTTGGCATGCGGTCGCCTGCCTCTGGTTCGTCCTCCATCTCCTCCTCGTCCGTGTGCATCTCCTCGTGAGCCTTGGCCTGGGCGGCTAGCTCGTCGAAGTGCTTCGCGAGGAGCTCCGCCTGATTGACGTCCTCCTGAACTTGTACTGCCTGCAACTGGCACTCTTTCAAGTACTCTGCTGCTTCAGCTTCAACTTTCTTGGCCTCGTCAAGTCTCTTTTTGGCGCGATCGAGGTACATTGCCTGTTGACGTGCACGTTCATCAGGCGGCCTCGCGTAGATGACTTGGTACAGTGTGACCTGGAACTCTTCCTCCAGCGCCTGTACCCTATCCTTCTTGTGTCCTAGATTGTATGCCACCTTGATTTGCTTCTCGATGGAATCTAATTGTAACTTCAGCTTTTCCCGATGAAGTGGCAATTCACTTTCCCGACGTGGCGGTGGTATCCAAAGCCTATGCTTCTCTGCCACATGCGGTGGAGCTGGAGCGAGCTGGATTGGATCTGCTTGGGCTAGATCCGCGGGTAACTCCGATTGCTGGCGGCCTTCATGCTGGCGGCTCCATGTTGGTGCTGACGATCTGGCTCTGCGCGGTCGAGATGCCGACTGCGGATACCATTCCTGTGACCACCAATTGCTCTGCGATTGACGTGCTCTCGATGGCGTGCGCCATGGACGAGAGTCGCATTCATCCTCATCATTGTCCTCCGACTGACGTGCAGGCTCTTGCGGTTCCGATGGACAGAAACGACATACCTTCTCCTTTGGCATGTTCATTCGATGACACTTGTGGCATGCCCAGAACTTGGAGTTGGGCGGCGCCATATCTCCTGTGTCTGCACTGTGATGCTTTGAAAGACGATGAACTGCTGCCGAAAGCCGAAGCAGGAGTCGGTCCTGGGCACGAAGAGCTCGCTGTCTTCTGTGCCAGGATGGTTCCTTCGAAACAGAATGGGAAACGTGAGAGAAAGACGTGGTCGCCTGGCCTCTGGGGCCAATGAATGTACAGTGATGGGGCGACGCACAATGAGGCCAGGGTCCGTTATTGGGATGGCTTCCTCAGGCCATGGAAGGGGGGCCTGAGCCGGGCCGGCCTTGGAAAGCAGGAGGAGGGAGGAGGAGGGAGGAGGGAAGACGGAAGAGGTAGGAGTGAGCAGAAGGAGGAGGAGGAGGAGGAGGAGGAGGAGGAGGAGGAGGAGGGAGGAGGATAGCAATACTCATAATAAGGATAATAGTAATCATAATAGCAAGACTGATAATAATGACAAGCGTAGTAGTTATATTTATGCTACGACAAATGAAGTATAAAAAAACAAAACAAAAAACTGCTGGTAATAATAATAGTATCACTCCTACGAATACTAAGACTAACTGTAATATTGAAAATGAGGACGGTGGACATAATAGTAACAATAGCCGCATGAATAGTAATAATAAGAAGTCGAATAATAATACACATAGGAGGAGAAGGATGAGGAGGAGAAGGAGGAGGAGGAGGAGGAGAAGGAGGAGGAAGAGGAGGAGCTGGAGGAGGAGGTTAAGCAGGAGGGCGGAGGGCGATGGGCGAGCGAGGGGTCGGGCGGCTCAAGGTGCCAAGAGGCGGTATTCCCCCGGCTGGCAGGACTGGCTGCCGACCCGTTGCAGCGCGGCCAGCTGCCACGGGGCTGCCGGGCAGAACGCCGCGAGCGCCGCGCGACCGTCGCCCTGCTCGATCAGCAGCCCGGCCGCGCCGGCAGCGGCGGCGGGCGGCCCATGGCGCAGAGCGCGCGCGGGTCTGCCGACTTCCGGGCGCGGCCCTTCGCCGTCCGGGAGTCGTGCGAGGCGCCGGGCCGCCGCGGGCCGGGCATCCACACAGTCAAGCACACAGGGCTGAGGGCGCAGTGCTTCGTCATGGCGTCCCCTGCGCCTCCTCTTGTTCGGCCCTGTGCTTTGGCCTTCGACCCCCGACGTCATGATTTCTTGTCATGACGTCGACCCCCAGAGGTCTCGACCCATTCCCCAGGACCGGCTTCTCATTGCGAGTCGTTTTTTGACGGTCCCGAGGCTTGGTAAGGTCCCCCAGAGGCCGAACATAGCGAAAAGCATCCCGTCACATTTCATCATGGCCCGAGGGGGTCTGGGGCAGCCCTTGCAACATGGGTGTCCACGGGCCCTGCATCCACATTCTGCTCGTATGTCCGATCGCAAGGCGCGCGCCGAGGCCCGCGCGGCAGCTTCGCGCCACATGTCTCGCGAGGGCGCTCGACTCCAGTGCAGTCACAGGGGAGCATTCGTAGATCGCTTCCGCCTCTCCCCCCCGTCTCCTCCTCCTCCTCCTCCTCCTCCTCCTCCTCCTCCTCCTCCTCCTCCTCTTTCTCCTTGTCCTCAGTCCTTCGACCGAGAGAGAGAGAGGATGGACCTGATGGGGTCCAGCGACGGTCCTGCTGTATAATATCCTACGCCTTTGCAGGCACGCAGGCCCCTTCGTCGAGTAGAGAAAGGCCCAGGCCTTCCGGAAAGAGCTCTGATTCGGTTTGGTGGACTAAGCTCCAGCCCGCCAGGCCCTGGACCTGGAGCGCAGGCGCGAACCCGCAAAAACACGCCGGGAGCTTGTCTAGGAGGTCGCTGTACTTGGCGCCGAGAGCGTATCCGGGGGACTCAAGAACAGCGGCGAGCGAGTGGGGGAAGTAAGAAAGCTTACCCGGGAACGACCCAGGCTCGCCGCCGACGAGAGCTTATCTGGGAACGACAGGCAGCTCATCCAGGAGGCCCGAGAGTCGATTTGGGCGACCCGAGAGCTTAGCCGGAAGAAGTTTGAAGCGTACCGGGGTTGCGGAGTAATTATTCTCTCGCGGGCAGATTCTGGATAGACTCTCGCGCCTTCGGTCGTCGCGTACCCGCCCTTGCCTTGTCATTTTCCGAGCCGCACAACTTCCAGTATGTAAACAGAACACGCGTGGGCCTCCAGAGCATGAACAAAGTAGTTTGAGAATGCGTTCTGGGAGGGGGGCGGCGAGCTGCCACGAAGTATTTGTTGTTATGCCCTGTTCTTTACAAGATTGCAGTCGCGTCCATTCAAAATTGAGTTGCGGATCGTACGAACCAGTCCGTTAAGTATTGCCTCTTCTATGTCGTTGTTTTTTTTCTTCTTGTTTTTTTCCTCGTTCGCTTATCTTTGCCCCCCCGCTTACAGGGCGAACGCTGCGTCGCGTTGCCCTTCTCTGCTGCTCCTCCGCCTCCTCCTTCTCCGTAGCCATTCTGGCTCAAGTCACCATGTCGCGCTGCGGCCGCATGGAGACACCTCTGGGCCGACGACAGTCTCCAAGTTTTTTGCCTCAGTTCAGGGGCCACGCGCCAGCCCGACCCTTTCCATACTCAAGTCCTGCGCCGGCGCGGGCACTCCAGATTCAAAGACCAGCCTGGCGCGCGTCACTGCTGGCATCCATATCCTGATCATTCTGTTCACACTCAGGCCGGTGACGGTTCAAGCGTTGGCGCCGCTGCTATACGCCCGCCCTGCTGCTCCACCTCGGATAGAAGCGCTGGCTTCGACTCGGACCTCATCACTGGCAGCAGGCACAACAGCAACCCCTTCGCGCAGACACAACGCCTGCTTCCAGCAGCAGTTTTCCCTCCTCCGACGGTGCTCGAAGACCTAATCCTCATCCCCGTGATCGTAGACGGCAGGACACTAGTCACTCCAAGAATAGGAGCGGAAGTGACCGCAGTGGGTCTACACGTGCACACAGACATCGGCGACACCGCGACCAACGGGACAGAGAGAGACGGGACGACAACAGAGAGCGAGATCATGGACCTGAAGGACATCGTGAGGCAGACCGAGCACCACCGCGAACATCAGGACCTGCAGCTCCACGTCCAGACGCTCGGGCAGAACGTGTGAATAGAACCCGTGTAATACCCTCATATATACTCCTTATCCTTACCTCTCCTGCGCCTGGCCGTTTGGGCTCAGGTATTGGGACAGATCGATCAGACCTTTGATCGTGCAGGAGGGAAAGACATCCATCTATCCCTCCTTCCCTCTACCAACGGATCAGGGGTTCTGTACCCTTGTACTTCAACCCCATACACAGGTTATCAGCCCTTTAAAGCTCACCTTCACCGAACCGCCCGTTGTGATCTCGCACGCGGTCTCGATGGAGCCCCTGCGGCGCATGCGCCGCAAGGGATCCATCGAGGCCTCGCGTCCGAGCTCTCCAACGGCGCGACGGCTCGGTGACGAGTTGGAGAGCCTTAGTGCGGACTGTGTTGGTGTTCCAGATACCCCCCCCCCCCCCCACACCCAGCTCCGACGGACCCGAGGCGCGACTAGCTGCTGAGCTTCACCGCAGCGCCGCCCGCGGGGGGACAGGAGAAGGAGTAGGAACAGGAAGGAAGGAGTTGCACACGCCTACCTTCGATCCTCCATCCCCTTCCCCGTCGGGAGCAATCCCAACCGCGTCAGGCGAAAGCCTCGCCGGTCATGACACTCCAGGGCGCTTTCGCGCTAACCGCCGATGGACCTCAGGTGCTGGTACCCCCAGCCCTGCGACCGTCCCCGTGGCGGAGCACGTAGCCACCTTCGAGGAACTCAGTAGACCAGTGGCGGCACAGCCGCAGACGCAGTGCCCCAAGGTATCATCGGATGAGACACCACACACACACATGGTCCGAGTCGCAGCTCGTCCGCGCGCAACCGCCGTGGAGCCCCAGGCCCATGCGGCGAGAGTAGGTCGAGCCCGCGCACCGCCTCTCAGAGGCCATGCGCTCCCCGCGACAGGGGACACAGGGAAGCTGACGCCCCCCACCTCTCCATCTCAGACGACCAGCTGGCGGAAACGTCCGCCGCAGGTGAGACAGCTGAGCTCAGAGACCAGGTCGAAACCTTCGTGCCCAGGCAATACTCTGGACTACTGCAGAGCGTTCAGACGAACGCCGCCGATACTGCAGCCATACGCCACGATCTGGACGGCGCCTTAGGGATCATTGATTCCAGGATCGCCGAAGATCGACGTATCATAGGTGAACTGCAGTACCAGGTTGATCGTGAGGTGTCACACTCAGGTGAACGAACGGCGATGGTCGAGAACCTACGCAACTACCTTGCGCAGATGGAGCAACAGCTTGTGCTCGTACGCGACGCAGGCGTTTCAGCAGTCAGGATTTTACATGATGAAATCCACGACCAGCTCCGCAACCGACCAACACCAGCCGAGGCCACCGACCTTGGCGACGTTCAGTCTCAGATCAATGATCTTCGATCTTATCTAGACCACACTACGGCGACGCTTCGCAACGAAGCACACGCCAACTCGACGAACCTGATCGACATGTTGCAGCGCACTGAAAGAGTCATCACTCAAAGGCTTGATGCGACCAACGCTGTCGTGCAGCCACTCGCTAACCGGATCTCTGACATCGAGCAGCGTTTCCTTGGTGCGCAGGACGCCCTGGCAGAGTTGCGTGTCGGACGAGCCCAGAGTGATCAGCTGGATTCTCCCCCCACGGTTTACGATTTCGCCCGCCTCACTGACAGGTTGCAGGAGGTTGAGAGGGCGGCGGGCCACGCGCAGTTGGAGCTCCCCCAGGTCATTCGTGAAAGAGATACTGAGAAGGTACGTGTAGAGAGTCACCTCGCACGTCTGGAAAGCGAGCTGGAGGCGCAAAGCGCCCGTCTCCGAGCACACGAGCAACGACTTGATCGGCATTCACAACGTTCTCGGGATACCGATGAATATACACGCCAAAAGGTGGCCCACATACACGAAGACATGACGAGCTGGACGAATCAGCTGATCGACCACACCAACGACACCAACCTCCACCTTCGACCTGCAGCCGACCTGCACAGGCCGACGGCAGCGTCCGCCGAAGCACCACAAGCCTCTGCAGGACAACAACGACGTACGTCACCAGGAGCAGCCTCCGCGGCAGCTTCTGCACAGACACGCCATGTGTCTCCTGTGCGCACAGAGCCAACTACTGACGGTGCACCGATACCCTCACAACCATTGTCTGCGGTGTCGATCCATACTACAACTCCTATTAAGGAGTCAGACACCGTCCGAGTCCCTGTCTTGCCTAAGATCACGCAGCTGCTCGAGTGGCAGCAAAAAGTACGGCAGAACTTCGGGGCTGCCTCAGGGCGACCATCCAAAGCATACGCCTTCCTATGCGTGGCTGAACAGCCCGAATGTACATTCGAGGACTTGCAAGACAGTGGAGACTTTGAGAGCATCGATTGCAAACTCGCTACCGCTCTGAGCGACATCTTATCCTCGGACTTACGCTGCCAAATCAGGCTCATAGAAACTAGAGAGCACAAAGCAGGACGCATGCTCAAAGGACGCCAGATTTACTGGCACATCCTACAGTCCTACAAAGTGACAGAGGTTGACGACGACCTGCACGATTTCGAGCGCCGTAAAGAATTGAGGATGAGAGATGACGATTTGCAACGTTTTATTACCGACTGGGACGCTTTACTCTTGGAATGCCGAGAAGCACCCGATCCACAGATCATGGAATCGCTGTTTCGTACACAGATTCGTAGACATGTATGGATGAAACAAGACATGTACGAGTACCAGCGCATGAAGATGAGCGACCCGAATCGTACCTATGGTTGGCTCCGACAGCGTGTCCTAGACATATTGGAGCTTAAACAATTGGAGAAGAATCAAAACAAGTTACGGTACGAACATGAGACACGATCTCAAGTCAACGTGTGCGCTGCCTGGAAGAAAGGCAATTGTCGCAATGGTGAACGGTGCAAGGCTTTGCATACATATTCCAGGGATTGGAAGAACAACAAATCTTCCAGAACATCAACGGCTGGT